TGATGATGATGATGACTAGTATTTTTAATTTAGACAGTATTAACTAACACGTTTCCAGCAACCACGCTTTTAACTTCCTTATAAATATTTCTTTATTTTTACATTCGTCTTCAGAAAATATCTCATTAAAAATACGTGGTTAGCTCGTCCTCTTGCCGTAATCATTGTTAACCCTCAAATGCTCAAGGTATCTGTTTCGAGAAGTAGTTCGAATATTTTTGCTAAATGTTCGAGCTGTTTTAAGCTCTAGAGGCTTAAATTGATCTATTGCAATTAAGTACTTAAGTTTTACATGTACAAGGTAATGTTCTAAATTTTTTCCTTTGTTTTTTTTTATCAATAAACAAATTTATTAACCTAACTTGCAGCTTAAGAATTTTATCTGTTTATGTTTGAAAAAAATACGTCATATACTCAGGGCTGAATCGGCTAGTGCATAATAAAGCATTTCTAAGATTACCTGCTAACTATAAGTTTTAAGTTATCAAGCCTAGATAATATGGATCTTAATCAATCACAGACAATGTCAATATGCAGTTTTCAACTAAAACTACAGTCTATTGTTAGTCCTAAGTACTTGTAACTATTCACAAATTCTATGATTGTGCATTGTTCCATTTTGTTATGTAAGCACTCGTACGAATGACCAAAGATGTTAATTTCTTCACTAGATTTTCTCATATATGAAGAGTGTAGAAGCATATACTTTGTCTTGGATACGTTAAGTATAATGCCGTTGTCATGTGTCCATTTTAGTATACTAATGAAATCAGCCTGCACTCTCTCCTCTATAACTTTAACGTCCCTGTCGGCGTACATTAGGCACGTGTCATCAGCGTACATATAGTAGGTGGAACAATGTTTTACAACGTTATTAATGCTATTCACGTGCATGATGTACCCGACAGGTCCGAATACGGAGCCGGTTGGCACACCCAGTGTTACATCGGCTCCTTCCCCAGTCGTTCCATTGATCATAGTGCGTAGTTTTCGATTCTTCAAGTAAATGCGGAATCATTTGTTCATTGGACCTCGAATCCCACACTCTTGAAATACTTCAACAAGTATATCGTGATCCACCGTATCGAACATTGAAGTAATATGTACAGTACATAATAGCTCAATGGTATCGAATGCTTTTTTGAAATCAATGAACAATATAACGACATAATTTTTACTGTTTAATTCATCATTATCATCGGCAAATCGTGCTAGTGCGTTAGACGTACTGTACGTTTTTCTAAATTCATGCTATGCTTTAGATATTATATGTTTTTTTTTTCAGAAACATACGAATTTGCTTAACAATTATTTTTTCAACTACTTTATTTATGATTGCCAATATAGCAATTGGCATATAATTGGAATATTCTAAGTGATTACCTTGTTTAAATATTGGCCGTATAATTGCATTTTTTAAGTAATTTGGATATATAGCGTTTTGCACACACATATTCACTTTCGCAAGCAACGGGCTGATCTCTTTGTTCACATACTTTAAATCCTTTACTCTTATTTCATCTACACCCGGTGATTTATTACATACATACATACATAAACACTCACGCCTGTCAACCAGAGGGGTAGGCAGAGACTACGGACTTCCATTTGGCGCGATCCTGACACACCTCTCTCGCCTCTTTTACATCCATATATCTACGCATACACGCTCGTCGGTTAAGGGTACTCCTAATCTGGCCCATTTTTAATGTATCGCCGATTTGGTCGATAAACCTTCGTCTAGGGCGTTCCTTCCCGACCCTGCCGTTCACTTCTACAACATAAATTTGCTTTGTCACTCTTTCCTCGTTCATTCTTTCTACATGACCAAACCACCGAAGCATTCCTTTCTTAATCCTTGTCACAACGTCATCTTGCAAACCACACTTTTCTCTTATCACACTATTTCTCACCCTGTCATTCAGATTCAGCCCTAGCATACTCCTTAAGGAACGCATTTCTACAGCATTTATTCTACTCTCATGCTTCTTCTGCCAGACCCAACTTTCACTACCATACGTTAAAGTAGGGACTAACACAGCATTATGAATTGTCATACGTGCCTTAGTTGACACATTCTGACTCCTCATAATAGCGTGTAGAGCCCCATTCACTCTATTTCCTGCATTCACTCGTCGTTCTATATCCTTATCATATCTACCATCCCTGCTAAAAATTTATTACAGCCTAATTTATCAGTATTTTTTTCAAATTCGTTCGATGATACTGCTTGATAACGGAAACGTTACTCGGGTTCACAAATTTACAATCACAGTAATGTTTTATTTTACCAATTACCTCTGTAAAGGATTTAGGAAAATTTGAGTATATATTAGTTACTGTATCTGTCTTACCTAAATATTTCATAATAGCAGTATCTAAATTATTATTATTCTTTCCTAACCAATCATTAATAATCAATCACCCAGATCTTTCTACAATCTCCTTTACAATTTAAAATTTCGTTTCTCCTAGATTTGGAATATGAAAAAATTATACTTTTTATTCTGTTCTAAAAACGTGATACCTATATAAAAAAATTATACATAAACTTGTTTCTTATAACATAAAGTGTTTGAGCTCAACGTTTAGGCATTCTTTTACGTAAGGCCTAATTTGATATCAGTGAAACGAGCCGCTAATTACAGCCAGATAATTAATTCACTTGCTTGTTAAACAAACCATGCATAAAAACCCAGTTTCTAATGTCATTCACTGTGCCTGAGAACGGTGTTTAGTATTATGCAGAACTATTGAAGAACATGATATAAGTAATTGTATTATAAGGCTTTTCAAGGTCATATCTTACATGACCCTTGCTGGACAGCCTAAAAACAGTTGGACTTGAGCGTCTTCCACAGTAAGAGGGAGGATTTGCCATAACCGCCATGCTTGGAAGGTGGATTAGTGTTAGCTGTAACATATGTCTTGCAACATTGACTCTATACTTTGTCGCCGGACTGCTGTATATCGATACTGGGGTTGCATAAACTAATTTGCTTAATTACGCGTATGGAAAGAAAAAGGCTCCGCAGAGTTTACTTCACCTGAGGATGCCTCGTGTAGAGGCGAAACACGTGTCGTATTTTCGAGAGTGGTGTGTCGTGGCTAGTGTAGTGGTACTGGGGGTGGTAGTGCTGGGATTGACGGTGACGGGTATAGTGCGCGCAATTGAGGGAGGGCCCCTTAAAACTGGACAGGACACATTATTTTCTTTCCTTACGCGGAATTAGGCAAATTAGTTTATAACAACCCCATTATAATGGATTTCCGCAAAGTAACGCCTGATTCTATTAAGTATATCTATACATCTATACAAATAAATGAAATTGAAGTGTCTATTTGTAATGTCAAAATAACAGCTTCTTGAGGTTCCGTACCCGAAGGGTAACCAACGGGACCCTATTACTAACCATCCGCTGTCCGTCCATGTCTTTCAGCGGGCTGTATCTCATGATCCGTAATGGGAAGATAGTTGAATTTTTTCACAGAATGTTTATTTCTGTTACCGCTATAACAAAAAAGAATAAAATAAAAAAATAAGTAATTAAAGAGGGCTCCCCTACTAAAAACGTGTTTTACGATGGTACGGAACCCTTCATGTGCAAGTCCTACTCGCACTTGGCTGGTTTTTTCACTAAATGCATAATATGAAAGTATTAAAATTTTAGTCTATCTGTCTGCCTGTCCGTCTGCCTGTCCGTCTGTTTGTTTGTTCCGGCTAATCTCCGAAACGGTTGGACCGATTTTTACGGGACTTTCACTAGCAGATAGCTGATGTTATAACGAGTAATTTAGGCTACTCTTATTTTAGAAAAAGAATTAGGGTTCCGCGTAAAAAAAATGAAAACCTATGAAATTCAATTGTAATAAGTTCCATGCCGTCGAAGTCGTGGGGAACAGTTAGGCTATCATATAAGTTGGCTATACCACTACCTACAGGAAGCCATGAAATCTTCCTGGTAGTTTCCACAGTCAACGTTAAAAAGTTATTTTTAATCTATTATACTATTTATCGGTCGTAACATACAATTCAATATTAGTTTGTACGTGGTAGAGCCCCGCTGCAGCTATATTTTGGATGTAGCACGAATGGGTTGTCTCGACCGGGAACGACTACGTTCTCCCAGAATACCAGCGTAAAATAGCAGTCTACTTGCTGCTATGTTTCGTATGGTGAGTGTAGAGAACTAGAGACCCTATTTACTGGTTACGAGCCATTCCATCTTAGTCCTCTGGGGTGACAATGCATGTGCAATTTGATTCTTAACCGTGGAATGTAGGTGTCTATGGGCCAAAGTATCCACTTACCATTAGGTGGACTGTGTGCTGTTTGCCACACTTATTCAGGTTTCGGTCACCCAAAATTGTACCCTCTTCATTTTTTTTTAAATTTCTCCAACTCTGAAGTCGGTATAACAATGTCTAATACGGGTAACACATTAGACGTGATTAGTACAGTTATGTTATTGATTACTTCCGGCGTCTAGAATCTAATAAAGGTTAACTAAAAGTGTTGCATCTTATTAGGATACAAAAAAGGCCTCAATAATATATTATATTTAAATTATCGTGACGCAAGTAGGCATTATGAAAGTAACGTGCTGTAGTATTACGATCAAAGAGTGATTATTCTTTTTAAAAGCTGTAGCCACTTCAGCTTCTTCATCTAATTTCGACACTTGAGTGTCATAAATAGTGTCTATGAAGGACCACAAGTCACAAACACAATACGCATTAAAGATTTACTTTTACTCCTAATGCATGACGGAACAAGCATCTCAAAAATACTATCATAATTTTTGAGAGCACTCGTCGAGACTAATATTCGATCAAGTTATTAATAATGGGAACCGTGTCCAAATGTGTTTTCTTCAATATTTTTCAATATTTGTAAATATTTTGTTATATATTTTTTTCGTGTATACTGTTAAAAGTATTGTACTGTATTTAATTGTAGTTTAATCTTAAATTTAAGGTATATTTTTCGATGTTCACAGTGAATCAAATACGAGTAAAGTGAACGAGTCTCGAGTGCAGAGCACGACGACAGACGGCGCACAACGAGAGAGCGGTGAGTCACTATGCTGTTAGATATGTACCATTCGTGGACGTTCATGAACTAAATCTTTGCATTAATACAGTATTTTGCTTTGATTGACACTGATATATCCTCCGCAGTTGAATGCTTCCGAAATCCGCCACACCCTCGTTTTTGTCATCACAGATTTATTTTAGTTGAGTAATTTAATAAATTATTAAATTAATAGATTAAGTATACAAAATTTAACCTTCTTCAAGTTCGAAAACTTTATTAAAAAAAGTTTGTATAAAAAGGGTTATTATAATATTAAGGAATTTATGGATGATAATAACCCCTGGGAATGAGGTGATCGCTACCAAGCTATTTCTAATTTGTTTTGTGTGGTTAATTGTGATTACATGATTGTAAGCTGTTATTTAAAAAAAAAGTCCCGCTGGGTTTCTTGCTGGTTCTTCCCAGGACAGAGGTTTTTTGTCGAACCAGTGGTAATTAAACAAAAGAGCGCCTTTCAATAAGTATTGTTTATAATCTATATTGAAAAAAAGGTTCTGTTTCTGTTATTTATAACAAATTAAACAGATGATGGGCAGCAGCATCTTCCTGGTAACAACTCAAAATAATTTAAAAAAAAACTGCGACAAGCTTCAGCGGTTCAGCGGTGGACTTTAATAGGCTGTAATGAATGTGTGGATGGATTTTTAAGGCGACTAATATACTGCACATTTTAACACCTTTAAAAGAGGTTCAAATGTATTTAGTAGATAACCCAATTTAATAAAAACACACTTTAATAATTTAAATTGGAGATTCGTTGCACGAAATACTAATAATTATGCAAATACAACGTGTACTTATCTAGTATTCTTCAATAAACTTAGTAATTTCTAAGTCTAAATTACTATTACAATAAACTTTTTATGCGTGTTTATTTTGTTGCGTTGCGATCTGTTTATTCCTACTATAAGACGTAAATTATTGCGATTTTTGTGGCCAGTTCACCAGTTCACCACTACCAGAAGCCGAACCTACAGAAATTAACTATGTGACTTGTTATTACAATTTGCTGAAACAACATAAATAAAACTGACGTATAACCCGTTTTAATTAGTTTGATTGAACTATATATTATTACTGCGGTGAACGTATGAGCCTAACCCTAGTTTTTGCTGTGCAGTTGCATTCTTTACTAATGTGGTCCAGTCGCTAATTTTACCTACATTTTTCGTGATGTGCCGATAGATAAAGGAATTACATTTGTGAAGATAAAAAAATAATGAAAGACGTCTTTAAATTAGAATCGGACGTCTGTAAAACAATGGGTAAACCGTTTAGCTGTATATCGGTGAGTTCGAATCCCGCAAATAACAAGTGTTTATATGGCCTACAATTTGTTTCAGGCTTTCTTTTATTATTTTCGGCATCATAATCACTAGTTACGAGGGTGACACTGAAAGTTCTTAGAAAATCAAAAACTGAACAAACTAACAAGTTCTTAGTTTTATTATATCTTTTCAAAATAGTGTCCATTTACATCAATACATCGCTGCATCCGATGGAACCAATGAGAAAAGCACTTTGCTTACTCGCCCTTAGGGGTCTCTTCGACGGCATTTTGATACGCAGCCACTGCTTCCTCGGCGTCCATAAAACGTTTTCCTCGAAGTTATTCTTTTATTTTCGGAAATAAAGAAAAATCGAAAGGTGCGAGGTTGGGACTATAGGGCAGGTGACCCAGTAATTCCACGTCTGACGTCGCCAAGTAATCGGTTGTTTGCTTGGTGGCTTGCGACAAGGCGTTGTTGTGGTGAAGGAGGATGTGAACTACTGCGAAGTTATTTCTCCCGAACTTTTTCCAAGACAAGTGGCAAACAATTGTTAGTGTGCCACTCTGCAGTAACTGTTTTACGATCCTCTAAAACAATTGTTGCGTAATGACCTATCCTTCCGGAGAACGAGGCCACCATCTTTTTTCCCACGCTTCGACCTCTCTTCTTGGCAACTCCTCGGAAGGGAACACCCAGACTGCAGACTGTTTCTTAGTTTCAGGATCATAACAATAAATCCAGCTTTCGTCACTCGTAAGTATGTCGAACACAGCATTTAAATCAGGTGATTTAAACGGAGGTCCGTTAAATCTTTGAACCATTTCACGACACCAATCAACACGACGGAGGTTTTGGGCCTCTGTCAAATTATGAGGTATCCACCGGGAATTAAGCTTCCTGACCGCTGAATATTTATGGAGGATTTTATGCACTTGACTCGTATCGATGCCTAAGCTTGTCCGAATCTGCTGATAAGTTACTCTTTTGTCAGTCTCTATCATACTTCGCACAACACTGATGTTATCTTCAATCGTTGCCGTAGAAGGCCGTCCCTCATGTAGATCTGATGTGAGATTAGTGCGAACACGTTTAAGCTCATTAAACCAGTTGTAAACAGTGGCACGAGATGGGGCTTCATCGTGAAAGGCCAATTGATGTCTATCATAACCTTCTTGTCGACTTAAATGACATCCAAATTCATAAAAAATCCCGTACGAAAAATTACTCGCCTTAAATTCATGCTGACGTGACGCAGACTATTTACAATTTGCCGCCAAAGCGTAAACAAATGACAAGATACACAATAATATTGCAAAAGAGTTCCATTTTCAAAATTTGAACTTATTTTTTTATTATATCGTTTACAAGTGGCCAGTTCTAAAAACTTTCAGTGTCGTCCTCGTAATTACGTGTTCCTTCATCTTTGTAGCTATAAATTAACAAGAAAATAAAAAGATAATGTTTGATTTCTTACACGTACGCGAATACCACATATGGAATAAAACCAACTTTACGGATTTTATCGCGTTTCACAGTTTGCAGAGGAATCACAGACAAGATTTGCTACATCTTGAAGCGGGCTTCCATAAGAACATACTACAAGCTGCCTAAGAAGATTAGTCAGTTCTTACTATCCGTCAAAGTGTAATATCCCTCTACAGTGTAGGACCATTGGTGGTACGCGAACTACTAGTTGGGAATAACTGCTCTACACGATGCAGGAGTGTACAAGTTTGATTGTGAATGTTGTCTCTCTTACATAGGACAAACAAAAAGATCCATAAAAACCTGCGTGAAAGAACATATCGCTAATGTGAACCACCGACGCTGCGGGAAGTCTGCAGTATGTCAACATGTTCAGCATCGTCCCAACCATTTTATAAGATTTGATAAACGACAAATCCTCGCAAAAGGACATCGATTCCTACCAAGAATGATTCGCGAGGCTAATGAAATAAAAAAAACATCCTAATTTCAATAGAAAAGATGGCTGGATGCTACCATCTGCTTCTGATTCCATAATTAATCTCAACCCAAACATATTACTATTGTAAGACTTCAAGATAGTGTAAGCTCGTTGTACGTAGATCGGACCAAAAATTAATAATTTAAAGTTGAAGTTAGCCTTAGCCTTATCTATGACATCGGGACGTCAAACACCCCAGTCTCCCCCAAGACCATGGATCATGGGTGCAGTAAAGTGCCCGAAACGTCGGGAATCAAAAAAGTTAAAATTAAACGCGATAAAACCCGTAAAGTTTGTTTTATTCCATTTATTATATATAAGTTTATTTTCTAGGGTCTTAAATTTTTCGTGAAATAAGTCAATGCATAAAATATAATTTTTTCACACATAATATGATTTAATTTTACATACTTTAATTAAGATAAAGTTCTTCTCCATAATAGTACTCTCTTGATTCCTAATTTTGAAAACTGTTGAAAGGTAATACGCTTAATACCTAGTGTTGCCTAGGGTTGCCAAGTGTTGCAAACATTGAAGCAGTAACTAGTACTAATAGATCTTTTATCTGATGTACTTTACGCCTACGCGAAGATCGGAGGCAAACTTGGATGCAATTTCACTTTTACTTTCGTTGGTCTACGTTTTAGACACGTAGACTAAGGTATTCGTTCGGGCTCAGAATCCAGCAATTTGTTTTTAAAAGTGTTGGCGTCACTGGTATTTTAACATAAGTTTGTACTGTAAAAACTAAACACTGAATGACTTTTGGTGTATTAATTAATATCTTTATCTACTGTAGAGAAAGTGTTACAAAAAAAATGTTTGTTTGAATGATTGCGTATCGGTTCTCGGCCGACAAATTCTTGAACTCGCGCACCCAAATAATCCTACATTTATTAATAGATGCACGCGCTTTGACATTGAGATCATAGTTGGTCATACCTTTCAAAGGCGTGGTACAGAATTAATTGCAAACTTGACTTACGGTCGACTCTACAAATTGTATAAAATTTTAATCATCCTAATGATTAAAATTTTATAATATAATATATTAATTTTTTATAATATAAGGCGAGATAAAATCTTAATTTTGTCTCGCCATAAGGTAGGTGAGGGTAATATGGTCACCTTAAGCTTTGTCACCCTATAAAACCAAAACTAGGACTAGTAATATTTTATACAATTTGTAGAGTGAGGAGGACAAAGACAAAAAAACAAAGTCCTATAGTATACTATAACTAATATATTAAGAAAAAAAATAAAATACAAGCTTTGACAATAATTAGGAACACTTCGAAAAATCAACTTCAAAAGAAATAACTATACTAGACAATACTAAAATCGACTAAAATATTTACAATAATTTCAACTGTCAAAATGGCGTCGATAAAGCTATTGTTTGATTGACTGATGAAGAGCTATCGTATCACAAAGCCATTTATGCAAAGAAAGCTGTAGTTTTTGAGTTATAAGAAAGTGACCATATTACCCTCACGTACTATAGATATATTTTATTTTATAACGGAGCTAACGTAACCGATAGTTCGTGTGTTGGAAATTGACAATGAGTTGACAATACGCAAAACAGCCCCGGATTATGACTAATATTCAATTTTTATATTCACGAAACGGTTCCTTTTTAATTTTAAAGCGTTTTATTATATATGAAGTGTATAAAAAATGTTTATTACAAATTAGTCGTTCAGCAAGAGCAGTGTTAGGTGTCATAGAATGACGAC